AATTCCCACAAAACCCAACAGAGGTGGTTTGGTCCCTCTGGAATCAATTTTCCAGCAAAATTCCCACAAAATTCACCAGAGGTGGTTTGGTCCCTCTGGAATCAATTTTCCATCAAAATTCCCACAAAATCTACTAATTTATTCTCTTCTAAAGTCCGTTTTTCCAGCAAAATTCCCACAAAATCCCCCAGCAGTGGTTGGGACATTCCAGAATCAGTTTTCCTTCAAAATTCCCACAAAATCCATCAACTGATTCTCTTCCAGAGTCCATTTTCAATCRAAATTCCCACAAAATTCACCAGTGGTGGCTTTGGTCCTTCAAGAATTAATTTTCCACCAATATTCCCACAAAATCCATCAACTGATTCTCTTCCAGAGTTCATTTTCCATCAAAATTCCCACAGAATTCACCAGCGGTGGTTGGGACCTTCCAGAATCAGTTTTCCATCAAAATTCCTACAAAATCTACTAATTTATTCTATTCTAAAAGTCCATTTCTCCAGCAAAATTCCCACAAAATTCCCCAGCGGTGGTTTAGTCCTTCCAAAATCAATTTTCCAGCAAAATTCCCACAAAATCCATCAAATGATTCTCTTTCATAGTCTGTTTTCCAGCAAAATTCCACAAAAGCCGACAAAGGTGGTTTGGTATTTCTGGAATCAATTTTCCACCAAAATTCCCCCAGAATTCCCCAGCTGCTTCTCTTCTAGAGTCTGTTTTTCCGGCAAAATTCCCACAATACCCAACAGCAAAGTTTGGTCCTTCGGGAATCAAATTTCCATCAAAATTCCCACAGAATCCATCAACTGATTCTCTTCCAGAATTAATTTTCTGGCAAAATTCTGACAAAATTCACCAGGAGTGATTTGGTCCTTCAAGAATCGATTTTCCATCAAAATTCCCACAAAATCCATYGACTGATTCTCTTCCAGAGTCCATTTTCCACCAAAATTCCCASAAAATCCTCAAACTGATTCTCTTCCAGAGTTCATTTTCCATCAAATTCACACAAAATTTACCAGCAGTGGTTTAGTCCTTCCAAAATCGATTTTCCATCAAAATTCCCACAAAATCCATCAAGCGATTCTCTTCCGAAGTCTGTTTTCTGGGATTTTGGG